ACACACACACACACACACACACACACACACACACACACACACACACACACACACACACAAGAGGGCACGGACACACACACCGACCCCAGCCTGACCCGTTTTTTTTGCTGATATGTTTTAAATTTTTGCATCTTCATTTTTTTTAAACACCTTATTTCCCAACAAAAAAACGAAAATCATTTAAAAAACAAATGCAGCACAACTCAGGGACCATATCCCTCATGATAAAAAATGCAAAAAAAAAACTTGCTTTTCTTTTTATTTGCTTTTTAATATTTTGTTTAAATCGAATTTCGTTTTTCATTTTTTAAAATTTTTAAACGAAGTCAAATTCCGAAATAAAAAACATAGGATTGTAGGGTTTTCCAAGCCCTACACCCCCATACATATATATATATATATATATATATTTACGTATTTTTAGGAGGAAAAAAAAAGATATTGAGGATTGGGCCTCGTCGGCCGCGGCCGCGGCCGAGATTCTTGGCCGCAGCGACCGAAATGACCGCGGCCTAGGCCGTGGGTGTCACATAGCCTCGGCCCCCCTACCCCTCCTTTCCCACACCCTTTCCCTCTTTCTTTCCTAAAATGCTACACACTTGGGTCACCCCCACTCTTCTCGTAATTGGTCAAGTCGATATAGAAGGCCACCCATACCTTTAGCTCACCTTCATCTCATTCCCTCTAATAAGCCGTTTGGCGCAAAAGGCGAAAAGCGCTGCAACGATGCGCCACCCATCTTCATCGGCTAGGAAATTGGTCTTATCGAAGAAGCTTCTCTTGGTCTCCTCGTCTATCGGAACTCGATGTCTCCCTCCCCCTTCCTTCACACACTCCCCCTCTCTCCTCCTCTCTTTCCCCCTCCTCTTCCCCCCTAGTCGCTCCTCAATCTCACTTGCCCTTTCTTCTGTCGTCTTCTCCTCCCCTTATGGTTATTTGTTGCTCTCCTCTGCTTTTGTCGACATATCGATGAGTGTTGTCAATCGTTTTGATATGAGGAAGAATGTAGAGGAACGTGACTAATCTAATGTTGATTGTCATAAGTATTTTAAGGAGACCAGAGTGACATTTTGGATAAATCTAATATGTGTCTTTTGTGTGGGAGCATTGGCGCTGCTCCTTACAGTGCTAGGTTATTTGATTGCTATGCAATTTCATTGAAACACACGCGCCCTCACACTCACACACACACACACACACACACACACACACACACACACACACACACACACACATGTGTGTGTGTTTTGTGTGTGTTTTGTGTGTCATTCAATCAATCAATCAATCAATCAATCAATCAATCAATCAATCAATGAATTAATCAACCATTCAATCAAAATCAATCAATCAATCAATCAATCAATCAATCAATCAATCAATCAATCGATCGATCAATCAATCAATCAATCAATCAATCAATCAACCAACCAATCACAATCAATCAATCAATCAATCAATCAATCAATCAATCAATCAATCAATCAACCAACATATCACAATCAATCAATCAATCAGTGTGTATGTATAAAAAACGAAGAAAAAAAAACACAAAAAAAACGCTTTTGTTCTTTTATCTTTTTTTTTATTATTATATTTTTTCCTTTTTATCTTTGCATCCGTTATAAAAAAAAAAATCAAAGAAACATGTGCACCATGTTTATCTTACCAGCAATCACAAAAATAGGAAGATTTTTTTTTTTTTTTTACGTTTATTAAGCTTTATTTTAATATAGTTTTTTTATTTTTTATTTTTTTAAATTAAAAAAAACGTCGAAATCCAAAAAAAAGGGAATGGGGAGATTGGGGTGGTTAGATACGTTCCCTGAGGTCTGGGCATGGCGCGATGGGAACGGCCCTTTCTTGTTAGGGTGGTAGGGATGTTGGGGTGGCAGCATGTGATTTTCTGTTTACCTGCTGCCATTGTAATTTTTTTGTGTTGGTGCTGAAAACTGGACATCGCTTGGTGGGAACGACCCTTTCCTGTTAGGGGAATATGCAGGTTGGGGTGGTCAGATGATTCGTCAACTTACCCTTTCCCCATGCCTGCGCTTATAGACGTCCAGTGCGTGTTTGGTACGCGTGTTGCAGACTATGCTTTATGTAAGGGCAGACAAGGCACTAACCAGTCCGAACGTTGGTTAGATGCTCCTGTACTAATGAAGGTTTGCAGCATGCTGTTGCCACCGGTCCTTGAGGCCTCCCCCATCCCCCCTTCTCCTTACGGTATGTTTGTTGTGTGTATTACACTGGTGCGGGATGCGGTGTTCTGCAGCTACTTGCTCATCAGGGGTCTCTATGCCAAAGGTTGTTGGGAGGGCCATCACGTTCTAAGAGAAGTATTGGGCAATCGACTGGCACCTCGGTATGAAAGTTCCTTATTGTGGGCCTGTTGTTTTCTTGTGGGATGAGAGTGGCAATTACTACGCATGTGGGGGTATTAAGACTTACTCATTTGATAAGAACATGCCTGACGAGGAGTACATGAGATTCCATCTCACAACGTGTTTCGACATCGTTGGTCACGAGGTGCCTGACAACTACAAGCTTGTGTCGCTCCACGTCGAGAAGTTCCAAGGTTACGGCATCCCCGCTGCGTCCATGCCACCGTTCGACAAGTCGAAGAAGAAGGATGAGTCACATATGGTGATGCTAAGGCCGTTCAAGTTTCTCAAACGCGTTAATTGCTATGAAGTTTCGAACCATATCGTGACGATTGACAACATGCTGCAGTTGTCAACTCCCTTCGTGTCGTTCGACTTTGATCTTCAAGACTTCGCAGACATAGTGCGATGTCACAAGCTGCAGACAATGGGCCAAGCCGTTATGCGGACTACCATCTTTGTTTGCTCGCCAAAGGTGGTAGGTAAGAGTTGTGAGGAGCTGAAAATATTCGCGCAAAGTAGCAAAAGCGGGGCCGTATCGACACAGACAAAGAGTGTGACAAAGTTCACTGCTCCAATCTAGTTGACGGGTGTGACACTGCCTGCAAAACAAGCACAATCACATACTGAATATGTTGCTCGTCTTTCTTTGTCTCCAGTTGTTGGGGCCACTGACCATGAGAATGACGACGAGAAGACAGAGGAGGACTCATACTTCTGATAGTGGGAAGGTGAGTGGTGGGCTGAGGGCAACGACACGAAAGATACAGAAGGCGACGACTCGGACGACGAACAATAGTTCTGCGATGGTGCAGAAGATGAAGAGGAAAGCTTAGAGGATGGTTGGGCCGAAGGCGATGGTAGTGAAGACAAAGAGGATGGTGGTCAGGAAGGCGATGGGAATGAAGAAGAAGAGGATGAGGATGCAAGTGACAAGGACGTCGAAGAAAGGGGAGACAACTACGAAGGCGAGAGTGAAGGAGATGAGGGTGGGGCGAACGAGAACGATGAAGGGAATAGTAGGTCATGGAAAATGCGGGAAGACTATTCCCGGGCCACAAGCGATCACGGCCTGACAGAAGATGACGGTGTGTTGCATGGCACACAGAGATCTGTGTGCATGCACAAGAAGGAAATGAAAGCTGGGAGAACAGAGGAAGAGAATCGGAGAGAAGCTAAGCTCATCATCCTGCAGGCCATAAAGGAGACTTACAATAAATCCTTAGAGGCCCAATCCGCTAAACCAGCAAAGGAAAAGCGTGAACACCCTCGATCTTCCCAGAAACTGAAAAGGAAAGCAAAGGCCAAGGAGACAAAGGAAGTGGCGGACTCTGGGGACGAAGTGGCGGGGGTTGACTTGCAACATACATCACCTAAGCCAGGAGAGCTGACCAGTGACACTATCGACACCACAAAATGTTTTTTCCTAGAATACAACGCAAACGATAATGCGATAGATCGGCCTACCCAGATTTTCGTTAACGACGTCAACATACTGCCTAACCTTTCGGCAGGCGTGCAATACAACCACAGGCCGTTGAACGAGATGTTGGTCACCTCCATCAGGAACGCAATGGAACACTCAGAAAAGCAGGAGTGAGACAGAAACACGTGGATTCTTGTTTCGGTCGTACAGGTGGAGAAGGAAGGCCGGAACCAATGGAAGCGTTTGAAGCCTGAGGAGTGGGATAATGACAAGTTTGCCTCCTACCATTGGTACACCGTCGCCGGCCAACATACAGCGGAGGCAGCAAAGAGGCTGGTCGCTGCTGGATCGCCTGCTGCCTAGAAGTGAAGCGTGCATTTTTGGAAGGCGCGGGTTGTGTATTTTGACGACGACCATTTGGAGGGGCATGTGTACATCTCCACGTTTGACAACACCAGGGAGACACATGTTATCCCGTTGTTGTTCGAATGGTTGTGACTGCTATAAGAGGACTGTGGCAGAATATAAAAGAGTCAAAAAGTGATTGGCATCAGGCGAAGACAGTGGATGAAAGGACTGCACAGCATGACCAATATCAAGAGTTCGTACGGAAAGCTAAACGGATGACTCCTGACACCACGCTCTGGAACCAGTCGTTGGCGAAAAGATTTGTGAGGAATTGGTTAAACCTGTTAAAGACCCTACATGTGTCTTGCGGCGAGCGGTAGGGTGGTGTGGAATCTGGCAGAGACCAGTGGATCAGGAAGGGAAAGCAGGCAAGGCGCCAGGACCGGGCCCTGATGCGAAGATCGTGAAAGGCCAAAAAGTGTTGGTGCACTACATCCAGTTCAACAAAAGCTCAGTGGGTTTCTATGTTTGCATCAATGATTCCCCCTGGCAAGCGCATGGAAGGTGTTCGGCGATTTCACATCAAGGGAGAAGGAGATGACCCTCGAGAAAATACTTGCGGGACACGTTGTCGTCACGAGCGGAAGGGCATTCGTGAAAAAAATGATGAACATGCAAGACCTGTATGTGAAGGTGAGAAGGGAGAGATATATGGTGCGCATGTTTAACTATGTCCTGTTCAAAATAGAGCAGAGGTCGGAGGAGGAGTGAAATGACAAGTTTTCTTCACTGGCTATGATACCATAATGAGGCTGTTTGCACCACAAGGGTTGATGACGGAGAAATGGGAAGAAACCAAGTCCAAGATTATAGCATACAAGACAATCAATATCCCAAAACGATTGGGCGGCGTGGATGAGGCAAAACTAGGAAAAGGGAATGTCAGGGGGCACAAGGTGACTACTGCAACATATATGGAGTGTCCGTACTTCCTCAAGCTTTTTGTGCATGAAATTCTTGGCGCAGTTGACTAATTGAGGGATGAACCGTGGCGGATCAGGTCAAATGCTCAGCACATAATGTGGGACAAGCGCAAAGATTATACGACCTATCTTCCAATATGCATTGCACCTATGGACGCACTGCATCCGGCGGAAGATTTAACTCGTGTTGTGAGGAAGTTGAGCTGTCACCTTGCAGTGTTCTACTTGCCTCCGTTAAAAAATCTCGACGCATGGAATAAACAAAGATTTCACGAGCTCCACCAAATGATAACGGTGTTATGTGGGACACATTGAGCACTAATCATATTCAGTGCATTGAACGGCGAGGAAACGGTCCTGAGAAACGTGTTCAAGTGAGTGGGTGTGAGAGTTTTTCCAGGGCGCTGGCGCCATTATAGCGAAGCGGCATCATCTTGCACCGAAGTTGGAAACCTTCCGTTGAGAGGGCGCGACTTCATGACCATAGTGCTGCACGATACAGACAATGATTTAAAAAAGGTCACGTTCACAAAGTCTCGTGAGAACATGCTCTTCGACACGCATTACGTAGAGGCGTTATTTGTCCGATGTACAAAAGAGGCAATCGGTGTGCGAGGCGATAGGAAACCCATGTACGGAATATGGAAAAGGGAACCAATAAAGATGACAGACTTGTGCACCTATTTTTTGAAGGAGGGGGAGGGTATCCTGTTATTGGGCAACGTGCAGGCGGGATCAATGTAGGACTTGCCTCGCTAAGGGCGCCATGTCGGCGCATGCGATGGTTCATCAAACATGATGGAGTACTCCTCGCTGTTTATCGATCGTCGCGTCCACAATCCGGATAGCAAGTGTCACTTCAAACAACCCAAACCTTGACATCGTGCGGACCGAGACATGTTCCTGAAGCTCGGCCAGAAGAGAGACTCTTTGCGGAGGTATTTGTTCTGCAATGCACCCGTAACACGAACTGATGCGGATTATCTGCACTGTAGGGTGATAGCGATTGCAAGGATATCACAATGTCAAACGCAGTGCAATTAAGATATTTCTGGGGCGGTATGAACACCTGTGGTTTGAAAAGAAGTGAGACAAAATTGATGCCAAGGTATACTACGAGGTAATGGGTGTTGGAGAGCAGTTCGACATTATGGACAATGAGGAGGAAACAGAGGATGACGAGATTGATCTCCCATTGTCCGGTGCATATCACAATGCAGTGAGAGACGAAACACCTTCGCTGTCTGTTTTGGGTGTTCAACAAACGATGGAGGAAGATGTCCGCGGCACTGTCGCAAGTACAAGGGTTGAGAATGCGATGCGCGAAACAATGTCAAACACAGGTGGTGCAATGGAAGGCACCCCATCCAAGGTGCAGCAGACGGCGAGGCATGGAAACAAGGAATCCGTGGACGACCCTGATGGGATGGACATAGAGGATAATCACCTCTTTGACATCCCGGATGACGCCCTTAAAAAGCTTGCACCAGGCGATAATATATCATATGACATGAAGGACTCGAGATGAAAGGAGGACCTCACTTTCTGGACACAAAGTGCAAAGAGTCATATGATCACGAGTGGGGGCATCACATCATATAGCATCCATGTCTTTCCGAGCCATGTGTGATTGATGGCAGATGGCACATTACTATCCGAATGGGTGGGAAATGGGTGTTCAGGGAAAGAGTCCTCAGGAGCGGGTTTTATAAGATTGCGAAGGACAACTTGTTTACCCGTGTGAGGCAGACGAACAAAGATGCACCGGACCAAAGAATATGAGACAAAGTGAACTCGTTGTTCGAATTTCTGCGTGAACATCACCTTCTCAAGCATTGCGCTGCGTTTTACGACAACAAGTAGACTCCGTCGTACGGAGGTGTCATATAGTCTGTGGACTATCGTGCAATGGATTGTATGTACGAGAGCAACATACTTGTAGGATGCGGTCAAGGCACTGAGGGACACACAGGTAAAAGGAAGCAGATCGATTCAGCAACAGCACGAGCTGGTGGCGATGTCGGCGCGAATACCCTTACATGGGTATCCGCCCTGGTTTTTGCAGATGGCAGGGGAAATGGTTTGATCAAAGTAAGCAGTGCGAGGCACGACCGCGTCCAGGGCCCGCTTTGGTTAAGCTAGGAGGTGTGTGGGCGCGCAGTTTTAAGGCGCGGGTGTGATTGTTTTTTTGATTGAGTGAGCGACCGGTCTGGTCGATCGACCCGGACCGTGTTGCGGATTTGATTAAGGGGTAAAAGTTGTTTTTGGTTGGCACGCGCGACCTGCGGTAGGACTGGCGCATAGGATGGCGTGCGGGACAGCCACGACGCGGTCGAGGAAAGCCGACGTGTGGTGCCCAGTGACGGCATGCTGGTTGTAGGTAGAAAAAGGAGGTTTAGGCTGTTCTTCCCAGGCCGAGGCGCCGCGCGGTACCACTTCATATTGGAATCCACGCCTAGTTGTCTCAGGCTTGGGCTTAGCCCTATAGGTTACGGTGTTGGACTATTGCTATGAAGGTTCAGGGATCGAGCCTGGCGGACGTCGGCGCAGCGGCGGCGGAGCGTCATGAAGGAAACTGAGGGGGTTGAGGGCCTGACGGGGCTATCCCCCTTTGGCTTTGTTAGTCGGCGCGGCAATGGACCCGACCCACGGGACCGGTAGGGCATCAGCAGCCCCCGCATCTTGTTCATGATTTTTCTTATGTTATTTTATTCTTGTTAATTTTTATTTACTACTTTTATTATTATCCACGGTCCCGTTTTGATTCGGGGCGCGGTACTGCGGCAGGTTGTTCGAATTTTGGAGAGCCATGGGTGGGGTACTACCGCGGCTAGGTCCTTCGGGACATCTGTAAAAATTGGAATGATACAGAGAAGATCTACATTGGCCACTGCGCAAGGGTGGTGCGCAGAGATCTAAAATGAACCCAGACGCAGGTCGCGCCAGGTGCGTACGAGCTAAGGAGGATGGAACGGGCAGAGAGGCCGAGCAACCGTTGTTATCGCCTCGGGGCATTACCCCGGCCAAAGTTTTGCGGGGCAACCGTTAGGGACTAGAACGATATAGAGGATGCTGGTAGTGCCGCGGTACGACAGGGGAGGCAACACGCATAAAGCGAAAGAGGTTTTTGGGTTTTCTTTTATTCTCGTTACATTGGATCCCTCGCAGGCGTACGACGCGCGCTGGTGCGTTATCAAGTTGAGTTGCGTTCTCGGGTTGAAGTATAACGCTGGTTGACGACAACAGGCGGGCCGAAAGGGCAACGGGGTAGTAAGGGAGGAACCCGGACGGGTTCCACGTCGGGGTACATTCGGAGGTGGAATAGTAGAGCGATGGAGGAGATGGGAAATGGCGGGCAAAAGACCGCGAAGCTTGCACGACCCTAGACGGAATCAGGCCGGGGAGGAATCGTCTCGGGGGGGTTTGGGCCAAGGCGAGAGTGATGGCGGGCGCAGTTTTGGGGTTAGATTAGCGAAGTGAGGGCTAGTAAGAAAAGTTAGTGCGCCGGGTGCGTGCGTAGCAACGGGAGAAGAGGAAATAAATGTATGCTGCTCGTTTCCGAGTAGGATCCGGCAGAAGAAGATCCACGACACGGGTTTTCAGGGGCCGAGAGTATGATAGAGATGTTAGTTTGGCCTAAAGTTTAGTGGGTTGCTTGGGGTTAGTGCTGGGGACTGCGCTCAGGTGGAGAGTCGTTATAAAGTGATATGAATCTTCCCGCGTTTTGGGGAAGATTCACCCTTTGTTTACCCACTTAGTGAAGGCAACTTATATCGCACAGTCAAATCCAAAGAGGGTGCGGGAAATGGACACATAGGAGAGATTGGGAAGGGGAAGAGAGATGCAGTAGAAACGAAACTTACCTCGTAGACTGCGAGGACGGGACAACTGCGATTCGTTGGAGGTGCTACTCCCGGCGCTCATCTTTACCTCTTAGACCGTGTCGGCTCTGACGATAGCAGCACCCTTGCGGCGCGGCTCGAAGTCAGCGGCCTACCCGCAATTGGCCTGCTGGAGGGGCGGCCGCCGTTTTTCTTTTGCTCTCTTCCTCCCTC